GTCTGGATTTGTTGCATTGTCTCTCAGCTTCCAGACAGCTGCACTTCATTCTAAAGACACTAAATACGTTCCTTAGAGAAAGACATCCAACAAGGAAGTCCATGTTGGGCAGGAAGAAGCGACGGGGCACATCAGCTGACAGTGTGCTTCAGGAAGCATCTTTCAGAGTCCAGTTTCAATACAAGTCAATTGCACCCTGTATTTTTATCACTCAAGAGGAAGAAAACAGAGATCTTCCAGGGGCTGCCACAGAGTAGGTGCTCCGTAATTTTTGGCTTGCTTTGAACAGGTGAACCAAGGCCATTACTCAGATCATTTTGTCTGTGTGTTCAAAAAGAAGTGGGGAGGCGGTAATCTCGGCAGCTCTCAGTTTTCCAGCTAACCATTTGCTGAGGACACCACAGCTGACTCCCCCACCCAAAAGTCAGTGGCAACTAATCTCTCAAATGAGTCACAAAGAATACATTATCAAGAAACTGAACTTCCAGTCAGCCACTCCTTCATCCAATGTGGCTGATATTAAGAAGCTAGAAAAAGGCACAATCCACATGCTATCACATTAAACAAACAAATTACATTTTCCCATTACTAGTGCCAAATTTAAAATTCCACTATTGCATCTACTGGAAGCCAAACCAAGATGCAATTTTTTTCATTACACAAAAAATATCCTCATTAAATAACGTTTAGAAAACAGACAAAGGAATAAAAGAATCAACCAGGAAAACCAAAACAACGAAAAGCAGAAAACAATTGGCTAGAACACTTCCACTCATAAACAGCCCCATCAACATTCTGGTTCCTTTTCATCCTGTTTTTCCCCCAAGCATGGATGTTTTGTGTAATTGTAACCATACAGTCTATACTAGTACACCTGCAGCTTGTGTCACTTAATGATATCATAAGCATTTCTCCATCTTTTTCTCCTTCTTAACCTTGCACAAAAGCAGATGGCAGAAAGATTCTGAAATTAAACCAAGTCAATAAATTCTTACCATTCTCTTTCTTCCACAATAACTACTGTAGTAAAAACTGACACTTTTCCGGAAGTTCCCAGGGCCACTAGAAATAAGATGTTTTTTTAAAAAATGCCTCGACACAAAGAGTGTCTAAGAAATGTTTGCTCACTTTCAAGTGACAAAGAGACACAAACTGAATATTTACTAGAATCACCTCTGGAAAGATAGAAAAAATCAAATTCAGCCTCTGTTACCAACAAATTTTTTATTGTCATTGAGAAGATACAGTACGCTCACACCTAACAATTAAAGCCCAATGTAAACTGCAGTCAGTTACCCTGACTCTCTAAGGGCTGGCGATGTTTTACTCATTTTGCAACCCTAGCACACAGAACAGTGCCTGACACATCATAGATACTCAATAAATGGCTGTTGTACTAAACTGAACTAAAGGCTATGATCTAAGCTTATTTAGAGATAGGAAGGATCACTGTGGGCTGTGGGCTGAGGCTGTCAAACACAGCAGATAGTATGAATATGGCAGAATTTGATTTTGGCAATAATTTTCAGGAGGAAGGTTGAACCATAGAAACCTCGGGAAACTCTGGAAATGAAAGATAACTAAGAAAAAATGTTCACATAGTCCTAACTGTATTAAATAGTTTGATGTCTTTATACAAGCAGCACTGAAACCTCTGGGGTATGTATTAACTAGTCATGGGAAATGTAACATACAACACATAACAGATACTACTTAAAACCAAAAGAAACTCACCAACACAAAACACTACAGCATTCCTGGGACATCAGAAACACGGGCTAACTCTCAGGAGGCTTTCTGTGTGCCACGCCAAGAAGCAAAGAGACAGTCAATTAAGGCTTTAGCTCTCCATATACAGCACCACAGTGGATACTGTCCTTGCTAAACTAGGTGTAAAAGAATGTGCTTACGAAAACTTTCAGGATCTCTTTACACTCCAGTGAAGCTATCTGCATATACTGCTAGAATTCTGAAACTATATACAAAGATCTGAAATTTGCATTCAACTTTAACAGCGTAACATTCACACCACCTGACTATAAACATACCACTTCCCTCCCCCGGTCCCCGAGACAGAGTTTCACTCTTGTCCCCCAGGCAGGCGTGCAGTGGCACAATTTTGGCTCACTGCAACCTCTACCTCCCAGGTTCAAGTGATTCTCCTGTCTCAGCCTCCAGAGTAGCTGGGACAACAGGCGCGCACCACCACGCCCAACTAATTTTTGTATTTTTAGTAGAGACAGGGTTTCACCATGTTGGCCAAGATGCTGTTGATCTCCTGACCTTGTGATTTGCCTGCCTCGGCCTCCCAAAGTGCTAGCATAAGCCACCGCACCCTGCCAACTATAAACATATCTTAAAAGAGAATCCAGCTGGGCACAGTGGCTCACGCCTGTAATCTCAGCACTTTGGGAGGCCAAGGTGGGCACGTCAGTTGAGGTCAAGAGTTCAAGACCAGCCTGGCCAACATGGTGAAACCCCATGTCTACTAAAAATAATGCAAACATTAGCCAGGCAAGGTGGCACGCATCTGTAATCTCAGCTACTCGGGAGGCTGAGGCAGGAGAATGGCTTGAACCTGGGAGGCGGAGTTTTGCAGTGAGCTTTGCAGTGAGCTGAGCTCACATCACTGCATCAGAAACTCTGTCTCAAATAAAAAAAAAAAAAATCCAACTTCACCACTAGGGTATTCTTCAGCAGACTCCATACATCCTAACTTCATTCACACATATTTTCCTTTCTTTTATTACATTTGTGCTTTTAAAAAATTCAAAGAATTTATGGAGAAGGAATTTGCTAATATCACATCTCTAACAGCTGCTAGTTGAATGTACTAAATCCATAGCTGTGTCTGTTACATTGTGGTCAACTTATACTTGATGAAAGTCTGGTTGCTTTCAAAAGAATTGATTTAAACCCGCCCCATGGAGTTTCCTTAAAAACAAGTTCCGTAGAGCTTAGGGGTTGTGTGGATAATTCTGCCTGGATGTAATACTGCAATTACTTACGATTAAGTATCTCTAGTACTTATCCATTCAGTCTCCATAGCCTGAAGCACTGAAGCACAAATGCCCATCAACAAGTCATGTGGGAATGAGCAGCTGATATAAAGTACTGCATGCTTTCAAGACAGGTGTTCTTTGTTTTTTTAAAAACATACATACAAGTCTGACAACGATTATAGCTGCCAGATAATTAAGAATTAGAACAATACAAAAGAATATGCCATTCTAAAAAAATGTTACTGGAGTCCAAACAAACGCAAATAAAAGAATTAAACATTTTTTCAAAAATTTCCCAGAAATTTTGATTTGCAGATTTTGACGTGCTTCAGCACACAAATTGTCTTATCTGAAGAATGAAAACTGTTACTGTTTTAATTCTAAATAAGGCACTTCCTCCAGAATATCAAAGATTTGGAAACCTAACACTAATTAGTACACAATCATTCAAAAGAGACATGTGGCATAACATTTGTAAAGCTGAACCACACCTGTCATGAGTCAACAAAAGAATATTTTATATACAAACCACATAGTGTTGAAAACTTGATAATTTGTTTAAACTGATCCATTAAAAGAACTCCACCGTCAAATGGAATAATACAAAAAACTAAAAATTGGATTAACAGAAGTAATGAAGGATTTCCCATTTAAAACGCAAAGGATATTACTCCCTACAAGGGTCTGAATCTCTCCATACTTCTCTTTCTTCATCCACAAAAGGGCACAATAATAGTAACAACCTCTTAGTTATCAAGATTAAACAAATTAGTACACATTAAATTCTTGTAACAGAGCCTGGCAAAGGGTAACCACAAAAGAAATGTGTGCTATTATATCAAGAACCAAAATTTTTAAAACGAAAATAAATTGTAATAGCAATTGAGAATAATCATGAAAAATAAAAAAGACACAGTTGTCACGACTTCTGGAAGAACAGTTTTAGGGTATGCTTAAAGCATAAACCAAATAATGGAAAAAGAGCCCCCTACTAAAAAAAGATAGCTACATGCCTTGCAAGTGGATTAATACATCCTATCACCTCGATTCTCTGTCATTAGTACTAGTTTGCAAAATTCGATTCTACCTCCTATGCTCTGCATGTAAATCCCAGCCCCTACTAGCAAAAAAGCCACAAAACTAGTCCCTTAGGGGAAGGAAATCAGAGGTTAAGGGTATGTGAAGCTCTTCGCATTTTCTAGTTTTATTAACAAACTACCAAGTTGAAATTCATTCCTGAGCTAAACTGCCAAAATGCTTCTGCAACAAAAACTGCAAACTTTCACGTGAACAGATCTTTTCAACAATAGAGAGTTGTTCCAGGCTGTGAATAGGACAGTGTCAGTGTGACCAACACAGCGGGTGCTGGACATTCCTGACACCCTTGTCCCCTGGCTAGCCTTTGATCACTTATCTCCCAACTGCATTTGGTTTGGGGAATCACTTTCAGGCAAAGTATATAGACTTTGCCTTAGCGTGTGTCATCTACACGCTAAAACTCATCTTTTGTCACAGAGCCCATCACGAGCATCCCATTAGCATAAAGCACCAAACACAGGAATGCTTTGTTTTCCAAAATCTGTCCACCTTCACTCCTAAACAGTCCCTCCGTGTTTTAATTTGTATATTCTGTAAAACATCATGGGATGACAGTGGCAACTCAATTAAATAATAAAATGACCTAAGAACCGAAAAAGGTCCTGGTCTGGTTACCTGCGGATGGCTGCCAGGGGAAAAGTGTGGAGTACTGCTTTAGGTAAATATGAGGTTGAGGCTTCACTGCTTACTTAGAATGCAGCCTTGGAAAGCAGACTAGACTTGACTCTGAAAATAGATTAATGAAACCTAACCTCACAGAGTTGCTGAAAGGAGTAAAGGAAATAATGGCTCCAAAGTGCCTAGTAGATAGTACACGCTCACTAAACGAAAGCTATTTTAGTCCTCTGTACCACTGTCCAGGAAAATGTGGATCTAATGAGAATTCCAAACAGAGGGAAAGAAAATTGACAAAACTCAAGTTTATTAGTGTGTCTTGGTCAAACGCCCCGAATGCTATTTCCGGATAAGGGTCTGCGTGGTCTCCTCGGCCAGGACAGAGACAAAAAAGGTACTGGATTGATATCCATTTTATTTCTGCAAAAGAAAAGCAGCTCCTTTGTTTGTGTCGAGTCAAACGAACTGCAGATCCCCAGAAGGCTGTGCCCAGCAGCCCGCCGGGCCTCGGAGCTCTACCTCGCTGCTCCTCGGCGACGTCCCCCGCTCACCGTCCCCTCTGGAGAGCACAGCACTGCCGCGCAGGGTCTTCCAGCAAGTTCCAGCGCCCACGCCGCAGCTGCCGCGCTCCCTCCAGAGGGCCGTGCCCACCGCCCGGGAGGGCCCCACGCCGGGGACGAGCCCACCGCCCAGCACAGGACCCCGCCCGGGAGGAGCCCGCCCCCGGGGTCCGACGGCTGTCCGGGGCCGACTCACTGCCTGGGACGCGCCCCCACCCCAAATTAGCTCCCCGCCCAGGTCCCACTGCGGCCGTCCCGGGGCCCCTCCTGCCCGGCCCCGCCCAGCCAGGCCCGAGTCCCAGCCCCGCTGCGGGAACGCGGGCGCGCGCCGCCCCTCCGGCCCGGGACCCCGGGCGCCCTCGGAGCCGGGACCGCTATTCTCTCCCGGACCGGCTCCAGCCGCTTCGGCCCGCTCTGCTTCCGTCGCCCCCAACCCTAGTCTCCCAACAGCGGAAACGCGCACACTCACCCCTGAACAGCAGCAGCAGGACGAAGTCGGGCAGCCGAGCGCAGAGCCGGAGTCGCGGCGGCCGCCTCAGCGCCATGTCGAGGGGAGCTGAGGGGCCAGCGGCCGCGCGGCGCAGCTTGTAGTCCCCGCGCATGCGCCCAGCCCGCCAGGACGCCGCGACCCGCCCCAGTTACCATGGCGACCGCCGGGCCCAGCCGAGCCGGCACCATGGTGACAGAGGAAGCTGAAGTCTGGTTGCTTACGGATGCAGCGATGCTCTGGACCGGCACATGGGTTCTCTTTCAACGGACTTGGCGGGAGGAGAGTAAAGAAGTGTGTCCAAGAGTGAAGCAGGGTATATTTCTATAGTTATAGAATAAATCCATCGCAACAGGTCGGAGAAGGAACACCCCTTTAAAATTTGGGAAACAAAGTATTTCTTATTTTACAAATAAGGGTGCAGCCCAGTTATCTTGGAAGCTTTATTGCCTTCACATCTTTTGGGCCCCCAATTCCAAATGTGATGGAAGGAAAAGAGCTGAAATCTGCTTAAAACATAAGCAATACATACATTATACAATACATAAAAATGATGTCTTGCTAAAATAATTTGTTTCTGTGGTAGATCAAAAGCATGATGGTATACCCAATAGTTTATTCTGCAGAAAAGCAGACTAATTATTTGCTCTGATTCCTGAATACTGGGAGATGGCAAAACCAGGGAAGAACAGGTAAGATGAGGACAAACAGGAAAAATGAAGAGAAGGATAAATTGAAGCAGAAATTAGATCTAAAAAAGCAGGAGTATTTAAAGTCTCACGTAATACTATGGAAAATACTTGAAAAGCTTGTATTTTAGCAAGTATAGAAAGTACACCTCCAATGTTCCCAGAAACAACAATCTAGCAACAATTCTCAATATAATTGTTAGCAAAATAAGCCAGTTTCCAACTAATATTTTCAATGTTTAACTTTTTCGTATACTCATGCTACTTTTTAGTATTTTTAGTTTTTATGCAAAATAGAAGAATATTTATATATTATGTATACAAAATTTATATATGTAAATGCCAGGAAATGTGAAATACATTGAGATTGTTGCCAAGAATATACTTCAGTTTTCACCACTGTATAATCTTCTTTGTAAATCTTTATAACTGCACGGATCTTTATGTGAATTGATTACCTTCTCAAAAATCTTATAGAGACAGAATAAAAATTTTAAAATAACTCAGTTACCTACTATGATCCTATTTGTCTTTCCATTCATAAACCTTCTTTATGTTCCAGGTCACCATGCACTACATCACAAGTAAAAGTGTGTAAAACTTGTTTTATAATGGTGGCCCCTTTCCCTTTATCAAACACAAAATCAAGAAATTAAAAAGAAGAAAATTCGTCTTAGGCCCACTGACATTTTTTTCTGCCCTCTCTTTTCCCTATTATTCCCTTTAGCGCCTGTTCACATGGCCAGGTATATTTACCTAACTGAAGCAACTGTTTGGGTTACTTGGAAATGTGAGATGGTGTCTGACTGTGGACAGAGTACAGTTTTAAAAAACCAGTGCCTCTTTTCTCCTGCGGAATTTTCAGTGTTTGCACTGTAAAATGGTCTGTCTGTTAAATGGTCTTCTCTGCTAGGGAATCTTTTGAAACTCAGACCGAGATTACAAAGAAAGGCTGCATGAATATTCCATAAGGGGCAGAGGTTCCTAAGAGAGTGGATGGCAGGTGCTTCATTGTAAAACATTGATTTTCCTCTGCAGACGGAGTCGGCATGTCATTGCCAACAGCTGAGGCAGTTCCTGGAATGGAAGTCTAACTAGGGATGCAGCAGAGTGGGGTGGGGCACACGTGGCTGTGAAGTGGTCTGCTCTTCCTTAGGTTTTCATTGTTCCCTGGAGAGCTCCGACCCTGTGCAGAAGGGAATCAGAGCTCAATGAGGCCAGCAGCAAAGCCCTGGAAGCATTCTGTGAGCAGGGCTGAGGAGGCTCTGCCTCCATCGCAGCATTTTCCATCTGCATATGCTTATTTCTAAGCTGTAGCTTACTAAGGAGAGATGCATTTCTTAAAAGAGCTCAGGGAACTGAATGTAAACCAACAATTAAATGCTAAGCCCTGGCCAGGTGTGGTGGCTTACACCTATAATCTCAGCACTTTGGGAGACCAAGGAGGGAGGATCATGAGGTCAGGAGTTCGAGACCAGCCTGACCAACATGGTGAAACCCTGTCTCTACTAAAAATACAAAAATTCGCTGGGCATGGTGGCAGGCGCCTGTAATCCCAGCTACTCGGGAGGCTGAGGCAGGAGAATCACTTGAACCCAGGAGGTGGAAGTTGCAGTGAGCTGAGATTGCGCCACTGCACTTCAGCCTGGGTGACAGAGCGAGACTCTGTCTCAAAAACAAAACAAAACAAAAAACAAACATAAAAGCTAAGCCCCCCAACAATCTGAATTGACCCCTCCTCTCAGCCAAAGGTACTTCAAAGTTAACCTGAAAAACTAGTTTAGCCATGATGGGGGAGTTAGATATACCTTATTATACCCTCTTCCCTTTTGGAATTCAGGCCAACTGACCAGCATCAACATTAAAACAGATCTTAAGACTGATAGGGCCAGGTGCAGTGGCTCATGCCTGTAATCCAGGCCCTTTAGGAGGCCAAGGTGGGCAAATCACCTCAGGTCAGAATTTCAAGACCAGCCTGGCCAACATGGTGAAACCCTGTCTCTACTAAAAATACAAAAAATTAACCAGGCATGGTGGTGCATGCCTGTAGTTCCAGCTACTTGGGAGACTGAGGCAGGAGAATCGCTGGAACCCAGGAGGCAGAGGTTGCAGTGAGCTGAGATCGTGCCCCTGCACTCCACCTGGACAACACAATGAGACCCTGTCTAAAAAAAAAAAAGAAAAAAGAAAAAGAAAAAGAAAAGACTGATACAACAGACTCTCTCTCTCTGAAGCCTGTTACCTGGAGGCTTCATCTACATGATAAAAACTTGGTCTCGACAACCCTTATTCTAACCCAGACATTCCTTTCTTGCTTGCTTGCTTGTTTGCTTTTTTTTTTTTTTTTTTCTTTTTTGACAGGGTCTTACCTGTCAAAGGTAAGGCTTTGAGCACAGGCTGGAGCACAGTGGCACACAATCATGGCTCATGCTTGAGCCTCGACCTCCAGGCTCAAGCAGTCCTCCCACTTCAGCCTCCTGAGCAGCTGGGACCACAGGCATGCGCCACCATGGCTGGCTAATTTTTCTACTTTTTTTTTGGTAGAGATGGGATCTCACCATGTTGCCCAAGCTGATCTTGAACTTCTGGGCTAAAGTAATTTGCCAACCTCAACTTCCCAATGTGCTAGGATTACAGAAGCAAGCCACTGCCCCAGAGCCAGACCAGACATTCCTTTCTGTCAGAATAATCTTTGAACCTGCCTATGACCTGAAATCCCAACCCCACCTGCTTACAGTTGTCCCGCCTTTCTAGACTGAACCAATGTACACCTTACATGTATTGACTGATGCCTCGTGCCTCAAGAAAAGAAAAATAAGAACGTGATCATGACTTCTGTTCCTTTACCATGCTATTCTAGCCCTGAACAATCATCTGAAGTCAACCCGCATCGCATGAGAGAAGTGGGATCCTTTGACTAATGGAAGTCTCTGACCCCAGAGTCCTTCTTTAAAGCATTCTTCTTCAGGGCTTTTCAAAGACCTGGGTGTGTTTCTGTTTCTCCATCTCCCCTCTCTTTAAGTCCCATCTTCCTCACAATATTTTCAACTACGTTATCCCACGTTTTATTTCAACTCTTATCCCCTGCTCTTTCCTTCAAAGTACTTCTTTAATTTTATTTAAATAGGAAAACCTTCTCCCACCTCCCTCTAAAGAAACAGTGGAAGACAAAACTTCCATCTCCTCCAATAACATATGCTGCTTGTGGTCTGCAAAAGAAGAAAAGTTCTTCTGCAGTTCGATCTATTTGCACATTTCTCTCCTTTGTTGAAAAAATGTATATACCAATGGCAGATTTTGGTCAAGTGGCTTCCTAGAGAGAGGCTTTTATAAGCAGCTATTTAATAAACCTTTCACATTTCACCAAAAGAAGGCTAGGTGTTTGTGTGCTTGTGTGTGTGTGTGTGTGTGTGTGTGTGTGTGTGTGTGTGTGTGTGTCTTTAAGTAGAAGTATCGTACATGCCAGGAGTTAAAGAGAGTCACACCCTTATGCTAGGGCAGGAGTTAAAGTATCCTGGTGGTATCTCCATCAGCCAAGGGCTCTTTACTGGTGTGCCTTAAAACACAATATGACAGCCAACAGTGGACAATAACACAAGGAAAGCCCTTGACACAGAACTGCTTCCCCAGGGCTGATGTTCCTGGGAATTTCTCACTTCAGGTCCTGTGAATATCACCCATGCTGCCTATGTCAAGGTGTCTGCCTCAATTCTTTCTTTGAGGACGTGGAGAAGCAGGTGCCCCTGCAGACACCAAAGAAAAGGTGTCTGAGAAAAGGTGTCTGAGATAGCCAGCAAACAGCCGTCCCCAGTCACCTTCCAGGAGGGATCCCTGTGATGGCATAAAACAGACCAGCATTTTTTTACCCTCTTCACTTGACCTGTCGAGTATTTGCCCTGGCCTGGGGAGAAGGTGAGAAGCTGTTTTCTGGACTGCGCCTCGGGGCTGAGGACACAGATAAGCCCCAGGGACAGGTCTGCCGCCTTCATTGGCTTCAAGGGAGGTCCTGGAGCACCTGCTGCTGGTGGGTTAGGGCTGAGACGATCTGGGTGGGGTGGCCCAGAGGGTACCTGCGGCAGTCTGGTGCACCAGTCCCGTGCCTCCAGGATGCTCCAACTACTTTGTTTACAGATGGGAGATATTTTTATTCCAGCCCTCCAATTAGAGATAATTTTCTCTTCACACAAATTACACCATGGAGTGTTTACTTCCTGGCGGCACCAGTGAGAGACCGGGGCCTCCGCTCTTTTCCCTCCTCTGCTACTGAGATCTCGCACCTTAC